TAGAAATTAACACAGAATGTCCTCAATTTGGGCTAAGAAAAAAAATTTTAAAACAGTACATATGTTGCACTAACCATAAAGGAAGAGAGGGATACCTATATTTTGCAGCTTTTGTTTACTGAGAGATGCCACTAAGGAAATGAAAGATGAGAAATATTTGCAAGGAAAAAATGGGCAGATTTAGGATAGCCAAGTAAATGAACAGTTGCTCAACTTCATTATCTTTAATGTCAGAGAAAATCAAACTAAAACCAAAATTGAAAAGGGTATGCATGTTGGGAGGAATGCAGAGCATGTCAAAATATGTTATCACGATGGTGGAAGAGTAAACTTTGAGAGTCAAGAAGACATTTTGGCAACAACTACTGAAGTGGAACATACGCACATTTTATGACCCAATAATTTGTCGTACCTGTTCTCCCAACAGAGATGCCACGTGTGCCAAAGGAACTGCGCATTATTCTTTACGGCCAAAGAAACTGCAAATAGCACAGCTGCTCAGCAGCAGAAGATGAACAGATGTGGATACATTCAGACACCAGAACACTATACAACCAGGCGACAAACACTGCTGTATGTAATACAAGGGATTCACATCAATACAATGCTGAAGAAATCAGAGACAAAGAACACATCTTATAGGATTCCATTTATGTGAAATTCCAACTGGCAGTTACCTGTGCCATTAGAATTCAGGATAATGGTTATCTTCTAGATATGGTAGAGGCCTGCAATTTCAGGAGGCCGAAGGGGTGATGTGGGGGCTTTTGATTTCAGCAGTGGTTACATGACTGTATCTGTATTAATTCATTTGTGCATTTTTATGTTTATATCCAATAACAAATTATTCTAAGTGTATTTAAAAAGCCAGTTAGCAAAAAGCTGGTACTTTGCTTGAAGACCAGTTTACAATGGTAAATTTTCTTTGGATACCTTTTCATTCCACCCTCTGGTATTGGGGTTGAACCTAGGGCTTCAAATGTGCTAGACGAGTGTCCTAGCACTGAGCTATGTACATAGGCCCCTGCTTTAAACAATTTTGAGTCTTGCTAAACTGCCAGGCTGGCCTCAAACTTGCAATCTTCCTCCCTCAGCCTCCTGAGCAGCTGAGATTATAGGCACGCACCGCTATACCCATCTTCAAATACCTATTTGATGTCACCGGAGATTATTTCTGGCTTTCATAAAAATGACACTCAAAGGTAAGTTTATGGTTTCTCAAATTTGGCAGCAGAATATCTAAATGTCACAAGCATATTTTCATGCCATCGGCAGAGCCCTTGCAAATGAAAATCAAAAAGAAGAAGTAAAAAGTTTTTCAAAATACTGTAAAGTAAAAATACAGTAAGGCTAAATCCTCCTAGTTTTGCTTGAATTTTCATTCAACATTTATTTAGAGTTATGCACCCATCTTACTAAATATTCAGATTATAGTTTATTTAGCACATTACACACTGAATTCTGTGATTCTTCTGTTGTGACACTCAACAAATGACTTAATCTAAGTTTATCTATACAAAAACATCTTACCTATAAAAACAGGAGAAATAAAATCAATAACCTAAGGTAGGTTTAAATTTCTAGTCTAGTGCCTAACAATACATATATAGAGATTAGTTCCTTCTTTTTAATTCTTAAAATGAGTTTACTTTAAACCTCCTTCATATTCTCTTGCCAATTTTCTTTCTACTGCCAAAACTTTTCTTCTCCAGTTAATTCTCAAACTGAGAATGAACGTAATACGGTCTTTCCCGGTCTCTGAAGTGATATTCTTTTAGTCAATTAAATACAACACTGTCCTCTCTTGGGGGGCAAATAACCCACCGCCAATCAACATTGTCTTCTGGCAGGTATTCTCCACTCTACCTCAACCCCTGCACCCCCCGGCTGGCTAAACCAAAACAAGTATCTCTTGTCCTAGGATCATAAGTTCAGAGTAATATACACAGTAAGAAATAAACATTTTATTCACTTTGGCATTTTAAACAATATTAACCCTCTTACCGTATCATCAATTGTACTCCAGGTATTGATCCCACAGGAGCTAAAAACTAGGTCCACACAAAAACCCGGACATCAATGTTTATAGCAGCTTTATTCATAATTGCCAAAACCTGGACACAACCAAGATAACCTTGGGCAGGTGAATGATAATCTGTGGAACTTTTTTGTAGATGACAGACTGTTATTCAGCACTCAAAAGATATAACAACCCATAAAACCACAAGGAATAACATTTAGTATGTATTGCTATGCAGAAACCAATATGAAACAGTTAGCATAGTGTATGATTCCAACTACAGGATATTCTGGAAAAGGCTAGGAGACAGTAAAATGATTCATGGTTAAGAGAGGTCTGGGGTGGGAGCTGGGGTTGCATAGGTAGAACATGGAGATTTTTAGGTGAACAAAACTACTCTGCTATTACAATGATGGATATATGTCACTGTACATTTACCCAAGCCTACACACAATACCAAAAATGAATCTTAATGTACACTATGGATTTTGAGTGACTAAAACAGATTTCTGGAGGCCAAAGGTTAATTAAATCCAGCACTAAACAGGTCCTCTCATGAACATAGGTTGTAATTCAGCTCAATTACCTTTATTGCCAATGTATCCTTTCTCCTAAATATGGAATTGTCTGACCTTGACAATAACAATTCTGGTATACCTGAATGTTACAGCTACACTAGAATGATGGTGTTTGAAGTTGTTTTTCTACAAGAATTCTTGGCAGCCTGGAAACAATTTATACAAAAAAAGAAATATGGGTTCTTCTAATATAATACTAATACAAATGGGCATTTAAAAAATCACTATATATATTTTGGAAATAAGTCAAAGTATTATTTATTTATGACATATTTACATACTTACAAAATTGATTTTATTCATACATTATTCTGCATAATATCACAAAATGAACACTGTATCCTGGGAGTAAAAATCCACATTTTTTAATAATTTATGTTTAACCCAACAACTTTTAAAACAAAGAATATTATCAATTTGCCTTCACAAATCAAAGTCATGTTGAGAAGTTTATCTAGCCATGGGACAGAGTAAATTCAACAGCATGTTAATTTAGGTGACCCTGAGTTAACTGTTAATTTGCATATTTCTGAATAGACATACATTATACAACTGCATGTGTACTTTTATATACTTTATTCTATCATACTACTTTTCTGTCTATATCGTCTCAATTTTGTACTTCATTAATCCCAAAGAGACTGAGGAATAAACAATGTGGAAGCAAAAGTGAGAAGAAAATCAGAAGAGGAAACTACCAGTATCACCTAAAGCTTTTATAACTGCAGTCTTTGAGGCACAGTTTAAGTCCAGGGTTAGACTGGAAGACTAGAAAACTTAACAGGGGTAAGGGTGTGCCTCAGTGGTAGAGCACTTGCCTAGTACCCAGGAAGCCCTGGGTTCAAGCAGAAAAAAAAAAAGGGAAGAACAGAAACCAACAATTAAAAGAAGCCTGGAACTAAATAAACAGCAATAACCTAAGGCTGATTTTTCCTGTTTTTTTTCCTACGCTCAATAAAAGTAAGAGTATAAGCTTACAAAATTAAATGATTTGGATTAAATATATAAAACATAAAATTCAGTAATCTGGAGCTCTTCAAAAAAAATTACAAAAATAACCACAATTACTATCAATTGTGTTAAAGATGGGTTTTCCTAAAAAGTTTAAGAAACAAAAAAATGCAAATAGACATTTCCCCCAAAAGATGCTAATGTGCGAATCACAGGGAGATGGGCAGGAAGAGAAAAGGAGAGGTGGAGCTGGAGCTGGTAGGGGAACCTGTGGCCTCAAACTGATGATCTGCCTGTGTGGCGTCTAAGCACCATCACAAGACCACCCGCTAGGCTGCCATGGTGTGCAGAGACTGCGAGTTACTCTCCCTGCTCCTGCTGCAACAGGAAAATCTTGGGCACAAAACAGAAGATGTGAAAGCTGAGCACACGGAGGCACACACTCTGAGGTTCTTCTGAGAACGTGGGCCAAGAAAATAATCAGAGGCCAGACCACATCATGTATCTACTCTCTTCTATGTGCCTTTCTCTACTCGTCCTCACCCACTCACACTGCTCCAAAGAACAGAAGGTTTGCCTCAGAGGTTACCAGGTGTGGGAAAGTTTATCTACTTTCAACAGAGCCACACATAACTCTGGCCCTGGAATGTGGGGTCTGTAGGACAATCACCACCCAATGAAACATCAATTGATGTTTGTGATTCTATTAGAGCAATCCTTCAAAGCATCAAGGAAGATACTTTAGAGTTGGTAAAACAAAAAGAAAAAATTTCAATTATTTTTAAGACCTATGACAGTTCACTATAATAGGAGTAGCAGAAATATTTTAACTATGGGCTTCAGTCTGTATTAAAAGACTATACTTCTATCGTAGGGCCAATCACCTGATAAATACATTATAAAAGGATAGCTTTAGGAATGAGGCAAATGGTACAGAAAGGCTTCTCTTTCCTACAAAGGACAAAGGAAAGTATTCTGTCCCTGTTACCTTGGGCAGAAGTTCATACTAGTAAGTGATTATAACTCACTTCTCTCGCAGCTCTGAATGATACAGCTGTCTGAATTTCTCTGAAAAATCACTATACAGTGCTTGGAAATTAACATAGTTTCAAAACTAAGAATCTTCATTCTCAGGAACCGATGGGAGAAAGGACATAATCATTAGAAATAGCATTAATACAAAACAAACCTTACATGTAAAGACAGTACAGGATAGGAGCTCGGACACCTGTAAAACTGCCAGAGAGTATGCTACTTTTGACATCTAAGTAACTGTATAGAAGAGTAAATACAAATTAAATTACACTTATATATGAAACTATCATTAAAAAGTTACATGTACTTGCATAGAGTTCCCTTGTATAAGAAAAAAATTTACTCAATTTTGATTTACATAAATTCAAAAACAGTAAAATATATTATCTGAAGGAAAAAAATGCTTTCACTAAATACAAACATAATAAACTAAAAAAAAATTAGATTGAATATAAATGTTTTTTGAAAATGTCTATAAAAAATAAAGGCAGAATGGCACAAAGTTAAAAAAGCAGTATTTAAGGCAAATGAAGTAAGTAACCTTAATTAAAAAAGAGCCATACCACCCCATAAGAAACAAAGTAATCCCTCTCAAAACTTCGTCATTTACAGTGTGGAAAATATAAGCAGAAGTACGCAGACGGCTGCTGTCAGAGTTTGTCCTCGGAAATGCTGAGTAGTGTTATACAAAAACAACATGGGTATGTTAATCCAAAACTCACTTGGATCACTGGTCCTTCAGTTGTTACGTATCAATAAAAAAATACAATGTATTACCCCAATGTTCATAGTATAAATCTGCAAAATGCCAAAAATTATTTTTAAAAAGGGGACAAGAACCATTTGCTGAACTGTAAGTATACATAATGATCAAAAAGAAACGATCAATTCCCTGACTGTGCCCATGGTATATAAAACCAGCACAGCAAAGTGTGACAGCCCCCGTAAGTAGATATCTTCAGGTAAGCTGCTGAGCATACTGCTCACCATCAGACCTGAGACCACACGCACACAGACAAAGCAAAAAGAATGGTTTTTTAAAAAGTCAATGAACAGGTCTTTAAAAACACAATCAGGTACAGATCACTAAATTACATGTGTTTGTACATGAATTTCCATTTTATAAATTTGGCATATTAAATTGTATTTTATTATAAACACATTTGTATATTTTCTTTTTTGAGAACTAGGGTAGATGTAATTATATAATCATAAAAAAGACCTATGTTTTTCTTCTACTGGAATGATACCATGCCTGTCTAGGAAAAAATATTGCAGTCTACAGGAAAATTACAAAAACCGCTAGATTCATTGAAGTTACTCAATTTGAGAAGACAGAATTTCTTCAACAGCAAGTTCAGAGGAAGAAGTCTCAGGGTCCTCGCGTCTCCTCTCACATGGCCCTGGGGGGCAGGCGCTGTTTGTACATGCCCGCCACGGCTTTGGCTGCACTGTAGATCATCTGTCGGCGCGACATGCCAGTAAAGGCCACGTGCCAGTCAGTCCGGTTGACATTGAGTAAACTCTTTTCCAAGACTTCGCCCACTGTTACCAAAAGGCCTGACCACCGCAGATTGTAGTCCTGGGGAGTTAGACTTTGAGCCTATGGAAAAATAAAATCCATACTACTTATGATGCATTAAAAATCATCAATGGACACAGCTATGTTAAGTGACATCTCAAAGTCTTTACTGAGGTTACTTTTAATATAGATTATGACAAATGCTGAGAAGCACAGCTATGCTGCCGATGGTATAAAGTTACAGGGCTACAAAAGAATCAAAATAATACTGCACACATACACTTTGTTAAAAATATCCCCCTTGTGCTCATTTTTTCCATTTAAATATATATTTTTTTCTTCTTTTTTTACAGTGCTGGGAATTGAAACAAGGGCCTTGTGCATATTTCAGTTTTAAATCTAACCACTCCACCTATTAACAGAGCTCAGGGCCAAAGGCTTAAATTCCAGTTCTTCCCCCAGTGTCATTTCAGGTTAGTAACAGGCACACTGATGGTTGCCTATAATGTCAGCATTTAGGGAAGCTAAGGCAAGAAGATCGCCAAGTTCAAGCTCCACCTGGGCAACTTTGCAACTTAGTGAGACCCTGCCTCAAAATAAATAAATAAAATTTTATCTATCTATCTATCTATCTATCTATCTATCTATCTATCTATCTATCTATCTGATCTCCCTCCCTCTCTACCTACCTACCTACCTACCTACCTATCTGTACCAGGAATCTAACTCAGGACCTTATGCTTGCCAGGCACGTGCTTGTGCCACTGAGCTATATCCCCAGTCCTACCTCAAAATTTAAAAACAAAATTAAAAAAAAAAAAAGATTGGCAATTAAAAATGCAGATCCTGGGCCAGGGATACAGTTCAGCGGCACAAGTGCCTGGCTAGCAGATACAAGGTCCTGGGTTCAATTCCTGGTACCAAAAAAAAAAAAAAAAAAAAGCTGATCCTGCCTCAGGAACTCTGAGTGGGGGCCCAAGAGTCCACACTGTTTTAGCTCCCAGGCGATGCTCGTGATGCTGGGTTAACATTTACAAGGAGCAAGGTATTTGACATTACCAGCAAAAATCAAGAAGAGCTGGGTTTTTATTTTTTTTTTTATTTTATTTTTTTTATTTTTATTTTTTTTTTGGTTTTTCTCCGGTACCA